CCGGAAAAAGATTATTGCATAATAGTTTTCGTTAAAAAACTTTGTCTCATGTTAATAACATCAAAAATTATTGACCTCTGACTTAGTGACTGTGTCATATATTACTAAAATATAAAAGCAACCAAGAAATATTATGAAGTATATTTTGAATTAATGAAAACAAAATATATCCCGATAGACAAGAGTTGAAATTTGAGCTCAATATGTACATATGTATTACAATATATTGAGCTTCAATTGATGTCGAATTTCAACTCTTGTCTGTCGGGGTACATTTAAGAATATTGTCATCATTACTAATTAATCAAATTATACTTTTTTCAATGATCCATTTTTTTATCATATAAAATTATTCAGTGTTTGATATATATTAAGAAATTTTGTATTAAGTTGAATAGATACAAAATCATGTAATCCGTATTGTGTGGTCTATCGTGTGGCGCCCCCGCACGAGAATAATTGAAATCACAGCCATGTATAATTTTAGATTCCAATTCTACGTAGAAATTTTCAAATTAATAACAGTAAATGCTATGTAACAATAAACTTCAGTTACAATGAAAGTAATTCTAAATATCTGTACGTGAATTTTCAATGTTAATCAATTTTCCCAAATCAATCACTCCATACTCTGGTTCTCTTACCGCTAATTTAAGACTGAAAGAACATTGTAATTGATCCAAATCTTGAATCTAATCGCAGAGAATGTTGTCGCGGAAGCTATTATTTATTCACATGCATGTAGATATACCTATTGAGTAAAGTGACGTGTACATATATACGTTATACATTGGGTTCTAAGACTACATGGACCCTTAAAGCATAGATCTATAGAGGAGAGATGCTAGGAGAGGAAGAGAGAGAAGAGCTGAGGGCTCAGCTGTTTTGGGGCCTAGGCGCTTTACGGTAGGTGCGCGCATGTCGGGCGTAAGGGTGGCTTAATGGGGCGCGGATGTGTGCTCCTGGGGGTGTCGCATTCACCGACGGTGATCGATCACAGGACATCCACCCTTGGCGTCCGTTATAATAGGCAAGCTCCATATAACTCTCTAACATTCGTGCCAGCATAACGCAATCCACTTTCCTTTCCGAGCTTTTCATGCTCCAGCTTTTCTTTCGCCACTTCGCAGTCGTCCATTACCCTAAAATTGTTTCTAAAACTATTGGCTACAGAAACAATGTGGGAGTAGAATTTAATACATTGTAAGCCATTTTTAGCTATATTTCACCATTGCTGTACATATCGGTGAAAAATTTATTTAAAGTAGAAAAACGTATTGTATTTGTTTCATAACATCAACTGAAGATCATTTTTCTTCAATATTGTCATATCATTCAGATAGTTAAATCACTTTAATTTATTAGTATTACACGTAACTATTAGTGTTGATGGAACATATATTTTAAAAATTAAAACAAACTTCGTAACAATTAGTGCAAGGTCAGAATTGAACATAGTATATTGAAACTACATAGACTGAAATCATTTAAAAGTTTCATTAACAACATCTTTTTACTATAGAGTGAAAAAAACCCAAGTAGCTGAGATATAAACTACCGAAAAAAGTAATAAGAAAAAGTGAGCATTTAAATGATCCTGGAAGCATTGTTTGGATCGTCGGATCATCGACAAGCGCCTAAATGTAATTTCACGCGGTTGATTAAGGACGTGGTAACGAGCGAGCCGTGAAATTTTCGAATTCTTGTATCAAATCACTTTTGGAACAATGAAATAACAAAATGGCCCGTCTTGATGATGGCAATCCCGGGAAATTTAGCGGATCGTGAGAGCGAGTTGTCCGATGAAGACTAAGCATTTGGGTCGTAAAAGTTATTTCCCCTCAATTTAAAATTGTCTGTTGAAATTCCAATCAACACACAGAGTAGCAGCTATCCGGTTTGTTTCTTTCTCACGCTTAACATCTTATACAACAAACGACGAATAAAATAAATACATTTTATCATTCAAATAAACTTTACTCTAATCAGGTATCCATGTGATACCGTGTGTGGTGTGCATTTTGCTGGAGAACATAGGTAATTAAACACTTTTAATCGGCTTGCGAGTGGTTAAAGAATATCACGATAGCAATAAGAGTTCATGTACCTTGTCTCGGGCTACATAAATAGCTTAAGAATATAGTTCAAACTGCAAGAGGCTGGGCAAAGTATACTGCAGTGATTCCTGCGGTGGTATTATGTACTCAGCTTGTCATATACACCCCTATATGTAATGTTATTATATTGTGCCACCGAATATCCCGTGCTCGCGTCCCGTTAAAGCTTGATGCGTGTACATAATCGCGTGCCGGCGCAAAATCTCAGTGAATGCCAAGCAAATTTAAACGCACATGCATACATATAGGCCTATCATCCATCCTATAATTTTTCAAGTACAACGGTACAGTGAGAAAATATTCAGATGCTATAAAAAATAGAATGATGAAGAGCAGGATTTCATTTATCCAGTACATGAAAAATAGTTCAAGTTAACATTGGAATTCATGAAATTTTATTAAAAAAGTGAATAATTATAATCATGAACTGTTGAATTGAAAATAATTAATTTCATTTAGAATTTTTAAACCAAAAAGGCATTTTAATTTTGTAAACAATTTTTAATATTATTAAAGAAGATATTTTACTTAGCGTTAAACGGATACCAATACTTAGTATTTTTGTGCTTAAAGGGGTATTAAGAACAGTTTTTTCTAATGAGATTTGACAGATAAAATTAAGAATTTCGAGAACTCATTACTAAATTCAATGTTTTTCACAGAAAAATATTTTAATTGTATATGTACCGCCGGATTAAAGGATTAAGTTGATTAGTTGAATATTAACATACTCATTAGCAACAAAAGGATTTTCATTATGTATTTTAGAATTTTTGTTTTGAAGTTTAAGTTATATTATATAAAAGTTAACTCAAAGTAATTAAATTACCCAAGGTTCGCTTGAAGTCATTTTAGTTTAAAACGTTTCAACATTTACCTGAAATACCATACTGCTTATGTATTTATATCTATATTTGTGTATTTATTTATAGACCCATATAGTGTTTTCTGTCTGGTCGTATTTTGTTAGAATGCTGAATATACAAGAAATAGACACAACGATCTGATTTATGTCGAATAACAAGGTTTATTATAAGTGTCTGGGCAGTTTAAATTTTCTCATCCTGCAGCAGGCAAGTGACTTTCATCAGGTAAAGAACCTCAAAGTTAAACACACTAAGTTAAGGACAATAGTAGTTGTAGATGCCTACGAATTGCTGAACACAGAGGGTCATTGAATTAATCCAACTCTGTCATAAAATGCAGAAGTTGATTATCAGTTGTGAAAGAAAGCAAAATAGGCATTTAGGTCAGTGGTTTGTCATATATAACTATAGTTTTAACATTATACAATTGTCCAGAAGCATGCATAAGATGTATATCTTCAGAAGGGCCAGGTAATCTTTTGTATATTGTCTAAATCTTTACTGACGTCATTAACTTTACTAAGAACTCATTGACCATTAATTTATGTGTCTATTGATATTTATATATTTATGGGGCAAGATTATAGTAAAGCAATGCTAGTAAATAATCATTGATAGAAAGATATTTTTTTCTGTTTCTCGATGCTAAAAATATTTTTAGATGCTCGAACGATTATTCAGTTGTTTTTATTATTAAAAATAAAATGAATTGGCTTTTCACATCAGAATAAAACGACTTGTACAAAAAAAAATTGTTTTCACTTTTTTTTTATTGTCGTGTACTTGACAAAATTGAAAAATATTACATAAGTTTTGTTGAAGTGACATGTTGAGATCTTATTTGACAATTTTTAATCAATATAATGTATAAATAAAAGACAACAGATGAAGTATACGATAATTGACAATCCTTCATGATGTAGGCATTGATACTTTTGCCCCTCCGTTATGTTTCTGTTCGGATGTTGGGTAACGTAACTCACCCCTAAGCCGCCCCTTGACTCCCTAGCAGGGTGCCTTTCGCTTGCTGAGCGATGCTATTACTCACCCAACACCGAATACCATTCAAAGTTCAAAACCGCACGTTCGCGACCCAATTCTCGTCCCGAGTCAGCTGTTTCATCTATCCTAGCACTGAACAGCACTCATCATAGTTGTGCGGGATATATTATGTCGAAATTCGTGACAGCCGATATGAATTAGACAATGTTGGATGAAGCTGTGAAAGCGATGTTCCATACAACAGCAATAATATTACAAGTATATACATTTCTCATAAATAAAATGACAAAAAATACATTGGGAAGAAAACAAATAATTGAGACATCGACTCGTCCGACGGACTTGTGGAACCCTTTTGCTTTTACACTGTTATTCACGGAACACTTATTTAAATTTTCTTGTCGAAATACTTATCCATTTATTTTGTATCAGACTCTTTGTTTGAAAAAAAAACCAATGTTAGAATTTTCCATATTAAAGTAGTAAAGGAAAATTGTGCTGAGTAAAAGTCGAGCGGGAAAACGTCAGACGGCAGAGGAGAAGAGTCAGCAGAGAGAAGTTAGCTGTAGCTGGTAGCGCGCGCGAAGCAGCCAGCGGCAGTGCGAGTGTTGCTAGAACGTAGAGAGGGAGAAGAGAAAAAGAAAGACAGGCCAGAATTATTAGTGAAAGGTGGGGATAGCGAATCAACAAGCAAGATGGAGAGAGAAGGTATTGGAGAAGTGGGAGAAAGACGAAAATAGGTGGGGAATAGCGATCGCGAATCAGTAAGAAGGAGGGAGAGACCAGATCTACATTCAGCTGAAGAGAGATAAATATAGTGGAGAGTGAGAAAGAGGGAGCAAGTGTTGTCTGTGTTAGTGTAACGATGGCGGAGGTGCGGTGATGCTCAAAGTTACCGCTTACAGCGCCACAATCAGCAGGCGGAGCTACAATGCATTGGTTGTACGCAGAGGGCGTGTCCATTGAACCTCCCACTCTCAGCCTGTGTTCCACGGTGATTGACAGTTGGCGAACGACTGCGGACGGCGCAGGATCTAAACGCTAGGCGCTTGCACGCTCGCTCGCTCCTTCGGTTGTTCGACGGCGTATAGTCATACGCCTGGTGTGACTTTTTCTTGGAGAAGTACACGCGCATCATTTTACCTGTCCGTATCCCGTTTTGCAAACCGCGTTCTCATATACTGTGGTATACATGCGATTGTCGGACGTCTGACAGTTCAGTACGAACGATTAAGTATTTCAATACGCAGCACGCGATTATCGGAGTGTTCATCATAGACACCGACTACAAAACATAAGTCCTTTCCCGCGGTTTTACGACTATTCTGGTCATTCCTGCTACGATCGTGCGCGAATTGCAGGAGTATTATTACTGTGTTTGATCAATTGACGGATTTATTTCTGAAATATACACTTATTTCTAAAAATATTTGGTCGTAAAATTTTCCAAGACTCAACATCTTACTGGAATATACCTACATATACGTATTACAATATACATTTATATACACATTGAAAAATAAGGACATCAAAGTGATCGAATTATTGTGTTTGTATTTTGAAGAGAAATTGTAGTAATTTCTCATCACAACGATCCTCGTGTTCAGCCGGCTACTTGCAGCCGTATTCCCCCACCATCTCGACCACTATAGCGGCAATCCTATAGTCCCCCTTATGTTATACCGAGGATGTATATCTCGTGCACAGTGACATCGTGATCTTTGGTGAATAAGTGAGATTTTACTTCGGTCAATTTATTAATGTTTTTTGCCAATTCCGTTTGACAAGTCTTGAACGGTGAAGTGCGCTAATAAGTTTGATATCGGGTGACGTAAATGCTTGAAAAATAATATATATTTTAATTGTGTCAAAGTAATCAACAAGTAACCGTTTAAATAATAGTGTCGTAAAATTATTTGGATGCTCTAATGCCGTGGCTTTGAAAAGCATTACAAGAAGTTAAGAAATTTTATACCACTGGACACGAAATCAAGAAAAAAACAAAAGATGAGGAAGCAAGGGAATTCCAGTTACTTGTGCATAACGCATTGCTGACGTTGACGGCTCTCTTAATCAACTTCTTGGGTTTGTACTCAAAGGAGGGAAAAGAGCAGCTTTAAAGTGAGGGCGGACGTCCACCCTGCGAAGATCTCTTTCAAGATCATCGCCGTCGCGCCCGTTGTTGCTGCTTCCTTCTTTCAAGATCATTGTGTGCTCCTTTGTGAACACCTCTATACTCAACGTTTTTCATTCCTGTGGAGCTTTTATAGAAAATCAAAAACGTAGGGAAAAATTTTAAGTGTGCAGAAAGGAAAAAAGTGGTTTGGTGGAGAGTGTGAAGTGAGACTCGTCGTTTATTGTGGGAAAATATAGCCGCTACGGTGGCTCAGCACGCAGAGTTCCCCGGCGCGGCCAGGGCGTTCATGGCGCAGCCAAGGGTACGTGTGCTCTTATATGTTTACTTAGAAAATTTCATCGAAATTCTATTGATGAATCTCTCAATCGTAAACCAAAATTTATTTTTACTTTCAAGTGTTCAAGCTCTTGCGTCATCGATATTTATCAGTTCTTTTATCACATCCGGAACGCTCAGATTAGTCTGAATATTTTTTCAAACCTAGCGGAGTGAGTCAAGCAACACAATCTTACATTGCCGACGGATAACTAAATGCTTTGCATATGTTTACAGTGTGAATTCTCTTACTTAATTGCAATGTTTACCCTTCATACAGATACACTATTAGTTAGCTTTCAATTCACAAAAAATGTTAAGTTCGTTAAATTTTATTTTTATCGAATAGAGATTGGTAATGATCAATGAAAGTTAAATTAGTCGAAATTTGTTACATAAACAAAAGTACTCGTAGTCACAGATAATTAGATTAAGATTTCCCAGTATTTACATAGAGTGTTTTGAATATTATTGTTTCCTAAATCAATAGAGAATAGTTGATTACTTTTATTTTCATACACACTTTTCCTATACTATAAATTAACATGGCCAATATTAAATTACGCTGCACGCGGTTCATGTTCAATTGTATAATTTATTGTTGTAAAGGTGAAATTTCAAAACTTTTTGAAAAAAACTGATGCAAATACTCAAAAAGAATTGAAAAAAAAATTAAAAACTTACTGTGGTCTTATATTTTTGTTATTCTAATTCAATAAGAAATTGGAAAACAAAACACAATCGGACTAAGTATTATTCAATTTTTAAAATACAATTGATTAAAAAAAATATATAACAATGTATCTTAGAATAAATATTAATGTAAAAAATGTCTGAAATGGTGGTCAAAAATTTCTAATTCCTAGTTTATATACTTATAAATATAATTCTAAATTATCATAGACAAACAACAAGTTAGTATTTAGATCTAGAAGTAGACATAATTTGTGCATTTATAGTGTGATATAACAAAAAATTACGGAAAATTGAAAAATTTCTAATAAACTTTAATGAAAAAGTGAAATTTACTTTATAATATTAAACGAATTTAGTGAAATTTGAATTAATTGTTTCTAAATACAAATATTTAATTGACCAATTTTGATAATAATTCTTCAACTTATTAGAGAACTTTAGTAATTTGAATTCTTTCATTTTTTTTGTTTATCAAATTTTTACGCATTCATAGTTGCTTAATGCAAATTTTATTGAAATTAATTTTTCAAGATATGTGTTATTGATTTATGTAGAGCAGAAATGTAGGCAACAAATGCTATACGCAAAAAAAAAATTTATTTTTGTATTGGCAAAAAATTGATATATTCCAAAAAATAGTTAATAACATAAAGCTTATGTATCTGTCAATATTGGATGCACATTTAATTATCGAAGGTGGTCATCGTACCTTTCAATAATTTTTTTCAACAATTTTTCGACATAATTTTGAAATTTTTTCCCCTATCTATTGATATAACAAAAAGCACTTATACTTTTTAACTTATAATCGAAAGCTTAGAAATACGAGCTACTCTCTTTAATGATTAAAATTTCAAAAATCATTCATTTATAAGCCGTCGCATCGTGAAAGTACAAAGCATAAACTTGTTTTTGTGATAGTTATTTAAAGTTATATTTCTGCAATTTATGATGAACAAAATGATTACCTGGTTAACTAGTGTGTCGTAATGGTAATTTCATAAACGTGTGATGACGGGAAAAATGTGACAGAGCGTGATATCAGTCGCGCACAATGTGATAAAAAAATTTACACGAAATTACATTTATCGCGATCAATGATAAGACAAATCTAACGAAAAAGGTGAGTCGGAAAATATAGAAGCTATTAACTAATAAAAAACACTAGTCTGTAGAAGCTGCAGATTGATATTTTTAACAAAAAATTCTTAAGTGTTGGAAAGTTATTTCATATATAAAGAAATAGTGCCAAGTTCGATCATTACTATTTTAAAGTAATTAATATTTACATGGTGAAAAACAATTAATGGTCTTTTAAATTTGAAAATTATAGTGACAATCAAAGGCCAATAAATAATTTACAGTATAACTTATTATTCTGAGTGAAGTTAAAAAAATATCACATATACCGTATAACTCAAATTCAACAATCAGAAGTGATGAATTAGAGAAATTGTGTGCCTATTAAATTATATTATTTATAACAATACGTTAATTGAACATTAAATAATGGATTGATAAGTGAAAAAGTTAACGAATTAAAAAAATACATTTTATTAATCAGATAGGGGTGACTAAATGTGCGGTGAAAAAAATCAAATTAATAAAATTTATGTTGTCGATATAAAAAAAATTACCACAAGTCAGTTTTTAATGTCATCATGACATTTTTTTATACATTTCTTTACAATATTGGATCATTATTTGATTCTCACTTATTTTGTAGCTGTTCGCCAGATAGTTGTGTTCGTAATTGTGTATCAATATTCTGACAGTTCATAATGTTGAGAAAAGAATAATTCTGTCAAAAAGTGTGTCTTGTAAGCATTGTAAGCGATAAAATAAAAAGGTGATGAAAATTTGGCCTAGTCTGAGAGATAACTACGATCAATGAGGTCGTAAATCACACAGAACACAGTCTGTCTACCAAATTTATGTCGAGTTCGATCGAAGTCTGGAATTGAAGTTCTAAAATAATTATCAACTTATTAGATTATTACAATATTGGTAGTAAAATTTAACTTTCTATTTATATCTTTTATTTCAATTTTTCTATCATGAAAATATCTTTCAACACGTTATTCTTTTTCATAATTTACAATAAATTATAATAAATATAAATTATTTTTTTTTGCAACATTTTATTTTTTTTTAGGAACATGATTATTAAAAACATAAGAATTCATTACTCATTATTTTTGTAGTAGAATCGTTATAAAAAAAAAATTTAATGACTACGAATAATCTCTTCTGAACTGTCAATCTTGGAGTTAGATGCGTGAAAACATAAGTACAAAATGAATTGAATACGAAAGAGATAATCATAATTATGATTAAAGCTATTATTCCTACCATAACTTACAAATTTCATTATATGAAAGGAAAATTTTTTTATAAAAATGAATTTTAGAAAATTGAATAATTACTACTATCATTTTTTATATAGTGGTAGAATGAGCTACTAGTAAATAATAAACATAAACATAATAATAAAAGTAATGATATATTAAAATAATGGTTATGATAATGAATATTATTATATTAGTTCTCATAATAATTTTAAAGATTAAAAATTTCACACTACTTATTTTGCATTAAACTTTTAGAAGTAATAAATACTTAAAATACCGTTGGAAAATATTAAAGAATTTAGTGTGTTGTGTCGTGTGTATTATACTTAGAGTTATTTGCGGTTAGTGTAGTCGTGCGTGTTTGAATCTCGCGTGCGAGTCGATTCTCCGTAAAACCAAAAACCGAGCGAGGCAGCGAACATCAAAAAATGTATATAGCCCGAAGGGAGATGATCGCTGCTAAAAGTTGAAAATAAAAGTCGTGCAGCGGAAACAGAAACGGTAGAACAACAGGATAGTGATGCGGTGCAAACGTGATGAGAGTTCGGGACACGTGACAGGTCGATGTGAAACAACTTCCTTGGATATAGTTATTGGCGGAAACTTTCATTCTCTTAAGAAACGTCACCAAGATCTATGTGTTTTCCAAATGTCGGCATCAATCAGACTAGCTCTAGGAACTATTTAAAAATAACTATTTTTTTTCTCCATGTTTAAGTTGAGAAAGGCGCTTTTTCTATTTCATCAGCCGCATTCGTGCTTACATGCAACACTAGGAGATCTCATATTCAAGTTTACCCTCATTCTCCGTTAGAAAAATAGTAATTCTTCTCTATTTGGATATTAAAATAAAAGTATTTAGTTTTCTCAACACCTGGAAATACTCAGGAGTCATCTTACATGCAATTCGTTGGTCCATCAAGCTTCGTTTTGTTATTTATGCTTCATCTATTTTAAATATATATGTTAAATTTTTAATGTCATATCGTAGAATATTTAAAATTTAAACGTAAAATATTTCTTTAAAATGATTACATTGATAGAGGAGTTATCAAATCACTTTAATGTATAATCAATAATATTTGATATTTTGGAATGTAATGAATGTTTATTGTTTTCTTTTTTAATCAATTAAGATGAGTGATCTCTAATCAATAATAGTAATATCAACATTTTATGATAGCTATGTCATCGATATACTTTAAAATATTGTTTGACTATACAGAAGCTTGATAATTATCAAATAAAACATTTTTTGTTATACATTTTTTTATTTATTAAATTTTCAATATTTATGATTGCTACGAAAAAATGTTTTATATAATTTATTTTTTCAAAACTTAAAAGCAAAATAAATTCAATTCTATATAAATTTAATTGTTTTAACAATAGTTAAATACATTATTAAATGAATAAATAAAACGAAATATATTTACTGCTGATTTTAAATGGTTAACAAATTGAATCATTTTTAAAAGCTTGACAATTCTCTGAGTAAGTCGTTGTAAATAAAAGTGAAGTTGAATTTAGTTCAATCTTCTTTACTTTGTCGTTTATTTAAATATTCCACTACAGCTATCTAAATAAAATATCTTCGTAGCAGTGACCGTATGAAGTGTATCGCATTATAACTTCTTTATGCTTCTTACGTAAAAAAATTTTAAATTTATTCTTCAACTTCATATGAGGAAAAATAGTATTATTCTTACTATATTATTAAATTACTAATTAAATGTACTATGTGTATTCATATAAAATAATCTTGGTAACTTGAATTCGTAAATAAATCAATTAGAGTTTATAAGTAAAAGGTTGATTACGATAGTATTAGGTGTTGTCATAACCAGAATTCAAAACGATAATTAACATCACGCGACTATCAGAATATTCCCGCATCTATGTTCTATGTCTATCTGCTAATGTTATATATGAAAATTTACATATATCTGACCACAATCGATGTGATACTACATATTATAATTAGAGCGATAAATTGTTTTGTGATTTGTTTCCTGTATTATGTATTAGAATCTGAACTTTTAGGCTATTGACATAGTGATATTTTGCATAATTTAACTAGTGAAATGACATAGAATCTGATATTTATTATTACTATAATATTTCAATTACTTTATTATAAATAATAGCAATTTGGACATTGGATATTTAAAAAATTACTCAAAATTGTTTGATTTTTTTTATACACTTTAAATTCGTCATTGATATAACAGAAACAATTGAAATAGCTATGACTTAAGTTGAACACTTTTTAGTAGTTCACAAAGTTTAATTTTTTTTGAGGTTGAATATAAATTATTCGTTAAATGTTTCACTTTAGAACGCTCTGAAGCAATAAATTATTTAATAGACAATATTGTGATAAAATGTGAATAAACTTCCTTTTAGCTAATAATATATCCGATAGAAAATTCGTTTTATGTCAAGGATATAAGCACATATAATTTTTATATGTCTGACCACCTGTAGGTTTCAAACAATGAGACAGGAAAAGAGCTTCGTACGAGTGTTGTTTTTCTCGCGTAGCTAAAATACATATCATTAATTTCGTTCTTTGGGTGTTGAGTGTATGACGTTGAGGTTCGTTGTGTTCTGTGACCCACTTCGTACGACATTCACGTGCACCACACGTAATAATATCGACTCGAGTGGTCATTTATGACGAACGTGAACTGTCATTATCATCACCGTCTGTCGCCCCATGAACTTTGCCCTACTGAAATGCTGGCTGCTATTCTGCAGTGTATCAATGTGTGAAGTGTTGGCTTGATTGACTAATTTGCTAAAAAAAAATTCTCCTATTTCATTAATTTATTATTTTATCGATATGGACGAATTAAACATTCTTTAATAAATGTTTGATAAATAATTTGCAGTATGATGATGGCGGGCTGCATGGGAGTTACCTGGAGGGTGGTGGCGGAGGGGGAGCAGGATTATATGATCCACACGGGAGCGCTAGAGGTGTTCCAGGTCTCCACCACAGTCCACACATGGGAATGGGACCAGCCCACCCTCAATATCCACCACCTCCGCCTCAACCACCACAACACGTTCTCGCGGCAGCAGCAGCGGCTGCCGCGTCTGCAGTTCCTGATGTTCACAAACGTGACAAAGACGCCATTTATGGGTAAGTCATGTAATTTTGCATTTCCGTCTGTCACTAGTGATACATAAATTATTATTAGTCATGTGTAATGTATGCATAGAGTCCTGTCCGACAGATAGAATTTACTTCCGTAGCTGGATAAAGCCAATCATTGGCTCATTCTATTTATTATTTACTTGCAATTGTATTGTGTTAATTTGTAGTTATAGTTAGGGTTAAATTTATTAAAAACTCATTTAAAAAAAAATACTGCAGGTGTTTATTTAAAAAGGTTTTTCATCGAATGAATAATATCGTGATAAAGGTAATAAATGAAATTGTAAAGTTTAATTCGTTAACGAAGTACCATAAAGATAATGAGAAGACGCAAGCTGACGCGGTAGCAGTGATTTTAAATGCAATAATTAATTCTTTAGCGCGCGTTAATTGACTTTTTTATTCTTGTGCGCGAGAGCGGGTAAATGTCATGATAGAGACATCGAGTGGCACGATGGTGTGTGATCCCACAGAGCCCTCACTTGTTCGAGGTGGGTTTTCTAATAAGGCATTTCCCCATAGACTGTGCATTGGGTTAATTAAAAAATTGCACAAGAAATAAAAACATTCCAACTTAAATAAAGATAAAAACACCCAAAGGGGCATCGCGTCCGGCGATCTGCATCGAACCGTCGATCGACTTCTGATAAATTAATTTTTTAATTAAAATTCCTACTTGTTTGTGGTTGAATATATTGTATAGCCACGATGCGTAATTGAGAGGCTACCGGTGGCCGCGTGTAAGTTCAGAGAAGGGCAAAATCGAGTGCGAGCTGCACCTGGCGAGAGAACTTGATGCACATCAGAAAAGTCTCCTTCTTATTCTTCTCCTTCGTCTCTCGGTGTACTTCTGATACGTCGAGATTTTCAGCGCGTACACGAAAACAAACTATTATGGAATTATTGCGAATAGTTCTTTTACGGTGTGTTGTCGTGGATACAACATTATGATTTATCGTCACTGAATGCCTCCATTTTTGTTACCCGAAAACAGGAGCTTATTATTTTTAGAGCTACCCTACAATTTGTCTTCTCGTCGTGTGCCTCGTCCAGTCGCCTTTGATTTTTCTGGAATGCCCGAATTTTTTGATTCTCATCTCTTCTTCCTTCTCGCGTAATTTATCCTAAAAACCCATCTTGACCGGTTTCTCATCTCATTGAAAAATCAGTTCCACACGTAAATTTCTCATTTTTTTACACTGAAATAATATTAATTTTATTTCATATTAAATTTTATTATTAAACTTTTGAATTCTTTTGATTCTCCATAAAATTCAAATACAATGTTTTTTTTCTGATGGCAAGAATGTGTCAAATAAATTTGATTTTTTTTTAATTAATCGTAATGTTTAGAATGATAGGGGCTAAAATGTACACGATTAAGTGTAGGTGCATGCAAAAAATCAGTGATGAATAAACAAGGTGTCAGAATGATTTGACCGCAAAGGTAATGATATGATTGGCCGTTGAATGTTGTTTGGGGAATGATGCGGTTTTGTGGTTTCCTCTAAATTCTGTCGTCCCTCTCAATTCCATCCATTGGCTTTTTCATCGAGTATTTTGTATTCACTAACTATTTTGCTGCTATACAAAATTTCATCGAGAAATCACCGTGAAGCCACGAGGCACCCGAGCGAATCAATGATTCCAGCGTATTCATTGTTGGACAAAAGATATAAATTTGCGAGTCAGACAGCCAAAGTCACGAGAAGAATGATCTCGTGAAATAAAAGAACAAAAAATACATAAATGTTTTCTCTCGGTACAAACTGCACGAGCCTTATCAATTATCTCGCGGGCATGGACCGATACCTCCATGCCACAAAGTCAGGGAAAGATAAAAAATTTGCCGCGAGGCGTTAAAAAGAATAACAAAGATCAGACGAGATTTACTTTATTTCATTTTAAACATTAATAATTATAATTAATTGAGAGGTTAGTATTAAAAAAAAACGGTTAGTGCAATTCATCAACAATTAATAGAGGCTCAGTAATTAGCAGCCATTACTAATTACAAATAATATACTAATAAAAATTAATCATTCAGTTTCATCTATATTTTTATTTAAAAAGATAATATAAAACGATAATCAACAAATTCATCAATTGATAGCCTCCTACTTTTCCTTTACTTTATTGATCGGTTTAATAAATCTTTTGAAATTTGAATAGAAATCAAAAATATATTTCGTAAAAGTAATATCTTTTTCTCTCTTTAATAAAAGCAACCTAACGTTTTTTTTGTAGATTTATTTCTACTACCTTATTTTGTTTTATTGCTCAAAAGTAGAGTTCATAGGGCCGTTCTTCGCCACGTCAATTTGTTGACATTCGTTCCGAATTGTTTTATGCCTTGCCACGTCCCTTGCTACTATGAACACACATTAGTACCGTACGTAATAGTTGACCTCCACATACAAGTATTAGCAAAAAAATTCATTCATAGGTTAAAACATTATGGCATTAAATAAACTATCATTATAAAATTGTTTATAAACTAATTATTTAACATCTATATATCTATTGTACATTTTATATTTGTTCATTAAAATGATTGATTAGGTTCATAATCTTAAGGTCGTTGCACTGATGTTATGAATCAAGTTATGTTGGAGAACAAACCCTGAACATGATGACTGTGTTGCATCGAGCTAATCTTATCTTATCCCAATCCTCTGGGGTCGGTTTTTACTGTCGTATTCGATTCTATATTTACCTACAACGAATTTATTTTTTATTTTTTTTGATAATATATTATTTTAAATGCGAAATAAAATGAGAATTTTGAAGAATTAAAATCATGAAAAACACGGATTTAGACATGCGAGAGTTCAACTTTATAGGCATCAATGGATCTTATTATAAGTAGAAGAGGGAAAAGATATTTTCTTAAAATTCTTTTTTTAAAATTTTTTTTTGTTAAGGCTCTTGAGATGAACACTGAGAATGTTAGGTCAGAGTACCGAACGATAAACAGCTGCCACTAGCGTGGCCAAGCGGCTTCCGTCGGACCGTACGAGGCCTTTACTCTATTCTCGACAAGTTTAAGACAGAAAAAAAGGCAAAGAAGCTCTCGTCGTTTTTCGTTCAGAGGCTTCACGCTGGATTTCGTTTTTTACGCGATGCTTGTCCGCAAGTTTAATCGTATCTGCTTTAACCTTGGACACAAATAAAATCAAAATAGTTCTTTTTTCATAAAAACAGAGAAATATTATTTTATACTTTTTTTTTGTAAATTAAGCATATATTAAATAATTATTTATTTTTATAAGGATTGAGTTTTTGTGAGTATTTCATTAATGTTATTGTTTGTTATACTTTTCAGACATCCATTGTTTCCATTACTCGCACTAATATTCGAAAAATGTGAGTTAGCAACGTGCACACCACGAGAACCAGGAGTTGCGGGTGGCGATGTTTGCTCGTCTGAAAGTTTTAATGAGGATATTGCAGTCTTTTCCAAACAGGTAAGACCTTTTTTTAATCGAAAATGAATATCCTTATTGTTCTATGTTAACATCAATTATTCAAAAATAATTTTGTACATTTTTTCTTTTTCATAAATGATTATTCAACTAGAAATAATGATTGATGAAAAATTTGGAGTATCTAATCAAAGATCGTTTTAAAAAATTTTATTTTTAATTAGTACTTGAAAAGTTGAGTTTAAGATACTTCAATAAGTTGATGAATAAATGATGTTTGCGACGAAACATGAAACTATGTTCAATGCTGTAGAGCGTGGAGACGCGCCCCATGGGCGTCTCGACGCTACTTCCTGTCGTCGTGGTCTCTAAGAAATATCGCCAGAGTGCTTTGCATTGGGAATAATAGTCGTCAAATTAAAATAGATTTTACCATTTATTTTTTGTTTTTACTTTTCTTTTCTCCTAAAATAATATACGCTTTGAAAACTATTTTTCGATTTTTCCTGACAGCCTAGGACTCAGGAGAGTCCTGCAAACGTTGTATAGTCAAAAAAATACTTTCTCTTTCGTATTTTCATTTTTCTCCATCTCACACATGAGATCTCTGGCTCCAAAGTTTTCTATAAGCCCAACTCTCGAGGTGCTCCCCAAGGACACGTAGGTAACTCGAGCTCTTCATCGTGGTTTTAGACTCTTTTAATACGTACCATTTTACCATCTACATTCCGCTACGCACACGTGTCTATCAGTCGTAAGCATAGTTATACTCAGAAAATCGGTTAGGGGGTTTTTAAATATTTCTTTACATTGAAATCGCACATGTTATTTTCAACCGTTGAGATTTTTTTGTCTATCTAGCACTATTATATTTATATAATTTTATTAAATTAATTGTTAATAAATTAAACAATTTGTGTATTATTTAAAAATATTAGGTGAATTAGCTGCTTTATTAATTAAATAAAAAAAACTATTCAATTAAAAATTATTCTACATTTTAATTTTTCATTCGCTATGAATGATTAAAATCTCAATTCTGTCAAAACAAAATGAAAAAATCAAATAACATTAAAGAACAAAAGAACCAGTGATAAAATAAATTTTTTTAATGACTGTGATTAAGTAATTAATGTTGAAAAAAATTCAATATAAAAGTGTAATTATGATTGTATAGATGAGATGTAAACGGTTGTAAGGCGGTAATACAGGTAGCAAACTTTATTCTAAAAGTAGTCATGATATATATCATGATAACGATAAGAGAGATTATTTTGGCTCCAACGATCATAGAATAGGGGATAAAGAGCTAGAAAGTCATAAAGAAGATTATTATTTTTTTGTCTAATAATAAATACAGCAAATATGCTGAAAATTTCGAAATTCTCTGGTGACGAAGTTTTAAGGGTCTATTTCAACAGCATCATAATACTGAGAGTTCAATGGGTTCATAAGAACATCTTTGTACGGTCTTTCTTCATTTTTTTTTTCTTTCTTTTTTTAACGAAGCAGACAGGTAGAAAATTCTCGTCAAAGGGTTCTACTCTTCAGCCATCTTCAGCCTTGGGGATCGGTCTCGATTCTACCAACCGGTACCAGTGATGCCACGTCACGCTACGCCTCTTGAGATTGCGTTACCAAGTACATATTTTGCGTGCATACTGTTGTCGTCGCGAAACAACACAACATAACGCCCGGGTCCGTGTCTGTAATTGCAGTGAGTCCGTCGATACTATACGACATGTACACGTGGCATTTGACCCCAGAGTAATTTATGGCTGCAAAGCTATTCTCTCTTCTCTCAAGTCTACTGATGATGAATTGCTGGGTGGTTAAATATAAGTTTCATTCTAATGTACCACAACATTGTCAGTCTCGCGCAATCAATTTGTCAGTTATTTATAAATATGTAAGTACGTATAATACAATTATTAATATTACCAACATAAAACAGTTCATTATATTATACTCAGTCGTATTTAATCTGTATCATTCATATATTTGTATCAGCATTAAGAATAAAATCAATTATTACATTATTTCTTTCTTTTGATTGTCAGTTTCTTCAAAAATCAATCTATTAAATATGCATTGCTTTGAGCTACTATTTGATTCTCGTTATTAAATTTTAATAAAAAATTCAAATTTGATGGAAAATGTTCAAAAATTATTCAATTGTCGATTGAAATATTCAGAAATCAATATCTATGGTCGTCTTGACATTTAACGAGATTTAAACAATTATCGTTAGTTAAAAATTAAGAAATTACAATTTTCATCACATAGAAATTTGTTTTATAAAGCCAGTTGAGACATATACTTGGCAAAACAATTTACTGATATTCATTAATAATAGTTTTGGTGGTATTCTTCAATAGATGAAATACTAATAATATTGATGTATGTATTTGGACATATTGATGATTAATTAATACACAAATTACTTTTGACAACATTAAAGTAAATAAATAAATAAAAAATTTCTATGTGGTATTTTTTTTGGATACCACTAAGCTTCCACATCATTATCATCATCATCAGTGCACGATAGCAACACGGTAGAGCCCTAAAATTGACAAAAGGCCACATAAGATTATTCGATGCATTTCATGTTCAGGTATTATAGGTTCGTATGTGATGCGCAGTATGTAAGGATGACGAGGGAAGAGGGAGAATTTGTGAACGGCTGGAAGGGCGCTGCTCATTTTATGCCATTGTAAATTGATCTATTCAATGGGCCTGCCATTATCCCCCACGGGTCTTCAGTCTCAATGCTATCGATTTGAAGCAAAATGCAGGAGGCCTTTGGAGCCACTTGGTGCATCGTGGCGTGTCTAAAACGTGCCACGGGTATATCCTGCTGAGTCCAGTGGTTCATTGTTGCGGCCCTTTTTTCTGTTCACTCTGTTACCTTCTGTCTCGTACTCGCCTTTTATCTCCTCGCGACTTGTACCTGAGATGCGCGTTTTACTTTTGCTACGGCCTCACCGCAGGACTCTGAAACCAGTAAAACGTTGAAGAGAGCAACCCTGTCTTGTTTCTATACATCTTCAATTTTTTCCCATTCGACTAATAAGATAGGACAAGTTTAATATTACTTTTTTTATTTACAGTGTTGTGATGTACATTTTGTTTTTTTGTAAAGGTTGATGCTCTCAAGTTTGTCACCCTTAAATTGGTAACCCTGACAACACATTGTTGCAATGACTGATCCGGAAGTTATATCCGTTTATATCTCCATCGCGCTCACTCTACCTGGTGTAGTTGCCCTCTTACCTCCTGATGCCGTACCGTTGGGATTTATTGGCGCAATTAGAATGCACCTCAGGGGCATTAAACCCTCGTAAAACGTTGAAGATCAAAGAACACAAGGAACCAGATGTTACGCGTGACTCAATTAACTTGCACGCGTTGATTTTATACTTATTCATTTAACTCGCGTTTGTTTAAATTATTTATTAGATACTTATTTCTTTTTTTTGTTTGTCGCTCATCTTAGTAAGTGGTGGTCTTACTTTAAGACGTCATGTTGGTTTAATATAGCCAACAGGCTAAGAGTGAAAGTATAACTAAACGTAGTTGTGTTATAATCATGTATTCACATATTTGGTTATATGCATTTTGGATCCTGATGGTAAGAATGATGTGACCTAAGCGGCGTCTCTCACTGATTTCGTTTGTCTTGTTTTTCGATGTAAGACAAAGAAAAATTTAAATATTCGCGACATTTTATTATCATAATCTTGATAAGAGCAACAACGTCTTTTTCTTAGTTTCTCCTTCACATGTAAAGTACCCATGTAACAAAAGAAATTTTCTACGGAATTCTAAAAGAGTCCCGTTTCGAAAATGTTTTGCTGGTGAGACGTAGGAGAATTCCGTAGGAACACTAGAAGAATGTTATGAGAATTTCGAAAAAATATTTTTCTATCCAATTTTCTTGTTTTATATACTGATGACATTGATTCTCATTTACTTTTATCTTGAATTATGTAGATAAACACTTATCTGAATTTTCACTTTTACACTGAATAACTTTTTTTTATATGAAATGACACTTCGAAAGGATCCAGATGTTGTTCCTTTTATTTCAAAAAACTGATATCCAAAGAAACAATACACACTTAATGTGCATAAAGCCTTATACTGTCATTTGGCAGAAAAAAAAATTATGAAATGTAAAAATGTTATTTCAAAAATGAATAAAAATTATGTTTGATTAAACTTTGCTGAGTTTAGATAAATTTTTATTCGCATCATTAAAGTTAAAGTTAAGGTCAAGATAGTTTTATTGACAATTATAAAAATAAATCTAAAAAGCTGTGAGGCAATGGGATTAATGTAACTTTTTTTAACATTTTACAATTTTCAATAATTCAATATTAAAATTTGTACAAAATTGATCATAGTGTTTATTTTATAATGTAGGTTATAACAAATGACATTTTTAGCAATATAAAATGATATATAATAAAAATGGTAAATTGTACATTGTTAAATATATTCATTTGTTTTGATGATTATTTACATTGAATTAATTTTGAAATTCTGGATAGAAAAAATTTTTTTGATATTCTTATTAAATTCTTCTGGTGTTTCTACGAAATTCCATAAAAATTACCCTGTCTCCCACCAGCAAAACATTTTCGAAACGGGACTCTTCTGAAATTCCATAGGAAAATTTTTTTCTAGATGGGTAAATTCATTTTATTGTTTTTATTATTTTGTTGCAATGACGTTTCTCATCCAATCATCGTGGAAACTAATCGTCAATGTTCAAATTTTAATGAAAATATATATACGCTTGTCTGTTAAGTTAGATGAATCACTGCATCTATCTTGTTATGTCGTTAGGAAAAGGCCGAAGAAGCGAATGTTTATGCAAAATAGGCAACTTCGTTACTCGTCAATTTTATAGGGTTATTTCTTGGGAAACGCGTTTCACCGTTGGAGGAACTAGTTATGTATAAATTAGAATTTTCAATTGTAGATAAAGAATAAAGATGAGAGCGTTGCTAATTTAATTGCGTTTGCGGTATATCAATATGATACAACCATTTAAAGACTCACCACTTAAAGTTTATATTTATTTATATAGCTTACAATATGTTGATCGAACACAACGCATTAACTTTCTTAAAATTAAACGATTATCATAAAATTTCTCTAAAAACATTCAATTTAATAATCACAAAAAAATATTGTAAAATTATTTAAATTCATTTTATGTGTTCTGATTAAATTCAACGATAGTCTGAAAAAAATGCAATTTTATTGAATGTGGAGAAATAATCACAAATTTATCAAGTATCATTTTTTATGATAGTATTTAAGTACATACATTACTTTACATTTATTGATACTCTTTTTTTTGAATAAAAATTTTCAATAAATGTATAATAAGTTATTACTGGAGACAGAATTATTTAAAAGATTTATGCAATCCTTAAAGCTTGAAAACTTTATTATTCTATCATTTGTCAAAGTTTATAGTTGGTTCTAAAATAATGTAGCGTGACTCCAGGATTATTATTAATAATTACTAATCGCTTATTTTATCATTAAAAGCCTACAATTTTCTTGTCTTATTGACACAAATATTTAGAATAGGCTGCTCTTAAAAATCAGAAATATAAAGGATTTTTTTTCAATTACAATAAACGTTTATTGCTATCAATTACAAGAAAGTCTATATTTTTTTTATTATTAATTGTTTATTTTATGGGTAAAAATATTTTTTAAAAAAAGTTGAGTTCTTTAGAGATTAACTTTAGTCGTCAAAAGTGAAAAGACTGAATCTTTTGTACTTTTAAATAAAGTCAACTCATGGGTTTTCAGGAATTAGTGTCAACCATCATGACCTCAAGTTTAAATGTTTTAAAAACTGTTTGTTTTCTACCTCTGAAAATCTATTCTTAGACATTCCAAGGAGAAAGTCATCTATTGAGCGACAAGAAAAAATTTTCCAATTCAGGGATGTTGTAAAATTTATATGCAGCAAAGCGTTGTATAAAACATTATGATACTTGGAATATTTACTTCCCTTAGTTTTTTTCTCTTAAACATGGCTATTTTTTTCATACTTTTCATTGCTTTTGACCAGTCCTGTTGTCTGGTTTGCAGTTAAAGGGTGCAGGATTGTCAAGGAAAAGACCAGACTTCAACCATACAGCAGCTGCTTTATATATCTATCTTCAAGATCTTTTACACACCAAGGCTCAAACATTTGTGATATTCCTTCACTTTTCTACTACTATACCTTGCAGTACAGACATTGAACTGAAACTCCAAGATCATTTTATAAATATTATCAAATAATATTTTTACCGCTATATTGAGTTATGTCTTCAGTCAGACAGATGTGTTTATTTTCCTTGTCAATTTTACTGTCTAGACCTTCATTTAGATGAATCTGTTCCAATATCTCTGCATCACATTTAACAAATAGAAATAAAATTGTAGTTGATAAATAAATATATTTAATTTTGAGACATCAACTAACTAAACAAAGTTTTTTTATTTATGAAAGTAAACAAATCGTATCAAATTTCTTGAGAGTGTAATCACTGTTGTAGGTGTTGGTATAGTTTTTAAACATATTGGATAATATTTAAGTGGCTTTAAAGACGAACAAACAGCAGAACGAGGTCTTGTTGAAAGTACAGCATTGGAGATCGAGCTGTTTACAATTTGTAATCGGGATGTCTACCTGCACGGCGCTAGCGGCCGCTCTGGGACCGTCGAAAAACAGCAGTGACCAGAAAGAGGAGGCGCAAGAACTAGTTCCACTATTTTCATCTCTGTTTAGTTCTTGATTCTCTTCGTTCCGTTCCTTGTTTTCTTCTTCGTCTCACGGTCAAGTTGACAGTATTTTTGTCTGGTTGTACACGAGACACCTTCATTACTATACACTCGATATATACGCCAGGGAAGTTCCATTCAGGATTCAATCTCATGAATACCAGCGTTGCACATACCCAAGATTTGTTCATGGATATCTCGTTATACGCAATCGATTTCGTTGTCTTTGGAGCTCGCATGTACAATTCGCCGTTATTCATATGTGACTAGCACTTGATGCCGACAATAGAAAAGTAATAGTTTTTCATTGATGTTTCATAAAGAGATATTTGATGATAATAAACGACGAATAAGATCATAGTGAACTTCAAAACATCATATTCATGATGATCAGAGACAAAAGACATCGATAACCCTGACTAATACCAGTCAAACTTGATTGTATTCCGGTGTATTTCCGGTCTACGTGAAGGCCTATCCGTGCTTTTCTATGTCTATCTGTCTGTGCACGTACGGATTGTGTAGTAAAGGGGTACCAATTAAGTAGAAGCACGCGAGGGAAATCGCTTAAAGCACTCTGGAGATATTATCGTTCCTACCCTTAATACTGTAATTACCGGTGGATCTAATTATTAAAGTATTTATGTGATTTTGTACATGTGTTTCAGATCAGACAAGAGAAACCTTACTATATTGCAGACCCGGAGGTGGATTCGCTGGTGAGTGGTTTTGTTTTTATTTCTATTATTTTACAATTCAACTGAACTATTATTTATTATTCTCAGCCAACAAGATAATCATTTTCATAATAAAAATATAATCTGTACTCATAAAATATTCTATATAGCCATTTTTAAATCTCTTATTTTAATTACTAGTAGCGAAAAGTGCATTCAAAATTCGAGCTATTGTTTTATTTCACTGTAAAATTGAAAATTCATCGTTAAACTGAAGAAAATTTTCAAATCAAAATAATGAAATTTATATAAAAATCATATTGATAAAAATTATATTATGTGATAAAAAGAACATTAATTATATTATACTTGTATGGCAATATAGAAATAAATACACGTTATTTTCTTCATAAATTGATTTACTTTTAAGAAAATACATTCTTTCATCATTTAATATTAGTTTTTATAATAAATTCTCATAAAATATATTTACAAAATTCAAATCAAAAGTCTCTAGCGCCATTAGTTTCAACAACCAATCAACGCCTGAATAAACCGATGACGGAGATACCGTCGAACATAACCAACATCCGTGGTTGTTTACTTTTTGGTAGAGGATAATAATAAGATTTTACATTATTATTGTTATTAACTTTTTCACTCTATTAATTTATTTTTTTTTCATTTACATGCATCAATTTAATTATACAATTTAAATTTTAAAAAAATTGTGGAGGTTTAATATGACTTTTTATCAGAAAAATTTTTTTTCTTACGTAACAGATATTTATTTAATTTTTATCTTTATCTCATTGGCTTATAGTTAGTAGAGGTTATTCTTTGTTGAATAGAAAATAATTCGGTTTATTAACTTGCTTTGAACAATGAGCAAGGTAATTAAAGCTCAGAGGAGTGGCCTCGAACACATTAAGATTAAAGTACTGCATTCACTCTTAACTTTCTCTCTCTGTCTTTTGTATCTCGTAATACCGACACTCTTGGCTCGAAGACGGCTATTCTTTTACTGAGGACCTTCGAAGCAAGGAAGAAATATTTCAAAACCCTCAAGTGTTCCGCGATCTAAGATAACTCGTGGGAAGTGGGCTTCTTAAATAGTTTATCCATGAACGGTAGATTCTTTTTGATTTCCTTGAGAATTACAATTTCGTCGAAGCGACAAGTCTCGTTTATCATGAAAATTTTGCCGGATGCAAGAAGCAGTATCAAGATATATATATTTCATGTTTCCACTGACAAAGATGATTGAAGAACCGATGAAGACTTTGGAATTGTCGCCTATACCGGCTGATCTTTCCTATATGTCACAACTGTCAGCAGTTATTCTGGACACAAATACCAGGCGTGACAAAAAAGTCGACAAGAAGAGAATCAAATACATGATTTGCTACACAAGTATCTGTCTTCATATTTGCATAATATATTTGTATCGTATTTTATTTATATTAATAGGATGTCATCCAAACTATCCTAATCATTCGCTGCATTAATAAATTTTATATAAAATAGATAATATTTTTTTTCTTTTACTTTTAATTAGTGTTGATCATTAGTTACATTTATATATTTTTCCACGTTTTAGGTTTTAATTTATTAGTTTTCTTCTATTAATTTATCGTGTAATTGATTTCATTTATTCAAATCTTGAGAGTATTTTTTATTTTAATTGAATAATATATATGTATTTATTTATTTTTGTTATTAATATCAAACAAATTGCTCATCGAATTAAAAATATATAATATTGGAAATGAGTTCTGTGGAATCGTCGAATAAACTGGATGTAAATTAGCTATACATTTGAGTCATGGTGATGGCGTGTTTGAGGAAAAACAGATTTCATCTAAATTGTAAAGAGAGTATTGTTGACGACAACATGATGAAAAGAAGTCGCGCGTGGCAGTAAAGACACGAATTGTGTGCGCAAATGGAATGTAGAAGAGCATTGGAAGTTTTTGTTATCAAGATAAACTAAACTGCTTCTTCATATGTATCTTATAATACCTACTTGTACATATACTTGTATGTATTTTTTCCCCTCGAATCTAACATACTCTTAAAGGTAATTGTTTTTAAATAACTAATATTACAAACATGTTTTTCTGAATTTTTTACTCAAACTATGCAACATATTCAAGTTCATTACTTCTGTGGCAAATTGCAATCTGCGAATGAGTTTCTCTATCGTTAAGAGGCTGCACGTTTGGAGTTTTTGTGAGATCCTCCACCTTCTGTTTTATTCTTGTTGGAATATATGGCCTTTGGTCTCAAGACACTTACGGTGCAGTACGTACACTGTTTCTTTCATTTCAAAAGGTAAAGTGGCGGTGCTCTGATCGAAGACTTTTTGCTTGATAATTTCATAGAATGGAAAAGTCTGCAGGCAAGTAGATTGCTTGTGAGTCTGTCAACTATCCTCAGAAGTGGCATTACAACAGTAGAATTGCTGGAATCATGTGGAGACTCACGAAGAGACAAGTTTGGTTCAGATTTCAAGACTTTTTTTTTAATCAATTACGAATGACGTACTACAAGTCCTATATGGTGTCATGAGCGTGACGAACAGGTCATATAGATGAGTCGTTGAACATTACTATAATTCTTGGAAGACTATTCAAATTGTTTCTACTCGTCTGTTACTGCTGTTGCAACAGCGAAAGGTTTGTAGTATGTAGCAGTCAGGTCTGTGGCCTCAAGAAGATGGTACTCGAAGCGACACTCGAGGTGGGCGTATAAACCAAGTTTTACTGACTCTTTTCTGTTCTGCTTTCTCTTTCCTGATCTCGAAATCGCCTTTGTCGTTGTCTTTGTCTTTTTAACCTCCGTGCAGCGACGTCGTAAACGAAACGAAGGAAGTCAGCGCGCGGTCGCAACCAGAAAAGAGCAAAACGACAGGCACAAGAGTTGTTCGAGTAGGGAGAGAGAAAGAGGGACAGATGTTGGAAAAAAAGTCAAAAAGAAAACGAGTAAAGCAGACGAAAGGGTTAGGCACGCACGCTCAAATAAGATTCCTATTAGCATACGCGAGAAATGAGCCAATGAGATGCTAATTGTCGGTCTTAAGCTTGAAAAATAATTGCAGGAGAAGCAGCATTACTTCTTCATGTTTCTTGTTGTTTAAAGAGCTGCCAGGTTTGGAATTTGTTATCATGTCCGTCCAAAACATCTTCAGATGCTTCTCATTAAATTCTAGGGACATATCAATTTCAATAATTGACCTCTGACTGTCTCATAAATCTGTTGACGTCTCTTCATTGAATACTTTTACTTTTGTTTCTTCAGCTCCAATTCTTTCATTCTTATTTTAACCCTCGCTTCGAGATAAACGTCTAAATGTTAAGTAAAAAAGCGTAATTGATGAAAAGAACAGATGAAATTTTATCCTTATTCCCAAGGATACATTCTTTGTCAATAATCAGGATATTGATCTTGTTGTTTAGCCAATAAAAATTGATGTATTTTTATAATGAATTCATTTCAGGATGAAATCATTTAAAATTTCAATCAGTTATTAATAATGGAAATATTAAATTCAAAAAATAGCTTTGTTTGAATGATTTGTCAGTAATAAAAGCTTCCGTAGGATATAGGATACATTGTAGGGTAAAAAAAGAACAAGTATAATTGATCAAAGGCAAGAGATGAAACTTCATCCTTATATTCAAGGATATATATTCATGAGGAGGAGGATGAATGATCGGGATATTGATCCATCTAGTAACACAATCGCTCATCATGAAGTGTCTCCAGATGGTTTCAATGTCAAAAAAGGGATCGATAAAAGAGAGTATATATGTTGAACGTCAAACTCAACTCGGGTGGTCCTTGCGCCAGGATTCGTCCTTCGGTCGCATCTCGCCCAGGAAAAAAGCTGTATGCGATTCGTCTCGGCGCAAAAATTAACGTCTCGTCGTCAAGCTGAGAGACGTCTGACTGCTGCTACTGCTGGACTTGTTTGTTTTTCCTTTTTGGCATCATTGCAGAAAGAACGAGAGAGAAATCAATGAGTCCCCTAGGAGTTAGTGCAGGAAGGGTGGTCCTCACCTCGGGTATAATTTCCAACTAAGACGCTTTTAGTACTCGTTTCTACTAAGCGCATTTAAGTGACTCTTATATGGGAGTCTTCTTCGGTTTATGTCCCTTCAGTTGTGTCGGAGTGCAACAGCGTGAGGTAAAAGAACTACAAGACAACTGAAGAGGAAGGAAGAAAGATATAGAACCAACGACTTGCATGAAGACTCCTCCTTTTGGGCTTGTTATGGCGCTCGTTAAGACGTTAATGTCGCCGAAAATATTCACAAAAATGCAGGTGCAGTAAAGTCTCGTACACGCACGCACGTGTTACCGTTCGACCACACTCAGTTATATATTCTCTAGTGTCTGCTATTTTTTACTCATTTTTTCCCCTCTTGACTCCTATGTAATAGGCGCAACATATATATTAATGTTCCGTTTTTTCTTGCCATTCTTTTATTCGTTTTACTGTTTAAAAGATGCATCTAGTTCTGTCGTTGTGCAATGCCTTTTCAGCGACTCCTCACGACTATAAATCTCTAGTTATTAAGCCTACAAAGCTAACGTTTGATGGCCCGTACAAATGACCTCATGTGGCTTTCTCTTCTTCTTTTATCTGCAGAATCTATATACTGTTGCTCCTTAATTTCTGGTTTACGAATGAAGAGATCATCATTTATATGCCGGTACCTGCATTATTGGCACATGTTTGTGAATATTTATTTTTTTAAAAGCTGAAAATCGTCGTAAGTCAAGAATTGATCTCATGAAAAATAATAAACTTTTTATTAAAATATTTTTTCTATTGTCATTCTATTAAAAAGAAAAATAGGTTTATTTTTCAAAAATTGTTTTTTTTTCATAAATTTCAACCTTTTTTTTTATTATTTAATATTATATTATAATTTTAATTTAATTAAGAGTTGAGTAAATACTTTCTTTCATTATTCTCAATGAAAGAAAAAGATAATTGTATTCACTGAATAATAAAAGATAGAAGAATAAATAAATAAAGGAGAAAGAGTAAAATGAGTCGTAAATCACTGAGCATCGATAAGAGCAGAATAGTAGTTGTGGTGATTCGCACCAATGTTTCTTCCTCATTGATAATTGATACAATTAACGTCCATTCATTAAGCAACGCTTCTATCGCACGGTTATACGAACGACCTTTCTAACCGATCGTATAATAACTGTCTGAGACACATAAACTTTTGATCGTTTCTCTTTTATTTCTCTTTGTTGTATCTTCATTTACTGTATACGAAAGCCTTCGAGCTAATAAATACAGAGTAGAGGGTGAGAAATCGTCATTGGCATTAAAATAAAAATTAACACACCACGTTTATATTGGAAGACACGCGATGTGTAAATTTATAGCCTAATATTTAAAACTCAATCGACATTGAGAAAGCTCGTTAATGATTATATTACTGATCAAGTCTCGTGCCATTATGTACCGAGAAAGCTTAAGAGAAAAAGAAATGATAATAATTTGCGACTGTCAACATTGTGAGATTGGCAAATTGGATTCCATCGTCAATGGATTTGAGTAGTTTTTTCTTCTCTCAAATATACCCATCAGCTGCATCAATAACGTATTTCATAGTATTTTTTCTTTGCCTCTCTTATTCCTTTCTTGACATCGTCAAGCTCTTTTTCTCTTCACCTCTAGACTGACTAGTTTAACTGCATCCTACACTCGTAAAAGTATCATCTATTAGTGTTAAACGTTCCTATCGATCCACAAGGCTTCACAGGGAGATTTACGATGTCGTATAGATTCTCGAGTTGCTGGAAATCGTACTGACAACGTTCTCGATCCACCAACATAGTCAACACACATTCAATATAAATGTTCACATCTACTGGTCTAAACTTATCTAATGTCGATCAGGTGACATTCAAGTGTTAAAATTGTAAAAAAGTGACAGTAAGATGGTATTCCATAGCTCATTAATTGTGATAAAGTACAACTGCTATAGTAATTAACAATAAAATTCTCATGTAATGTGACAATAGTCTTGATAAAATGTCATTAAACACTACTTGTATTATTATCGTTTCACATTTTTATTATTCCGTTTATTGAAGCAAAAAATACATATAAGATCACTATATATATATATATATATATATATATATATATATATATATATAATGACACATTCTTTTGCTTATAAAAATAATTCTCCTCGTCTGCAGCTCCTATAAATAACACCATCAGATGCTGCTTTTTTTCATTTCACATCTTTGGTTAATTAATATCACATGATGAGCGATTGAAGCAAAATCTTCTCGAGAAAGCAAATCACGCCCTGGCGCCTTCCGTGTATTTCATTTATTTAAATACAATTATATACACAGATTCATCTAAAGAGTGTACGTATAATAATACCGCCTCCAAGTGCAGTACAGAGAAGACATTGTATTGCTGTGTAGATGATGAACTCGATGCGTCAAATCTTTTGAGCAAATGCTCTGATTCGCGCCTCAGCAGCTTTATTTCGCGCTGGCGCATAAGAAGAGTCTCTGTTTTATTCCTTATAATGCCTACATCATCTTTCCGATTCGTTAAAAATCGACACGTTGAGTAGAATGCACGAAACTTGCAGCGGGTAATAAGTAGAAAGGAATTTGATGTAAAGTTTCATCGCGGGTGGTATAAGTGAGTTGTTTTAAATTAGGTAATAGAGACGATAGTAGCATCAAGATAATAGATCTTTAGCGTTGTATAATGTTGAAGAAGGTACGCTGTACTACTAGTGTGCCATCAAGAAATGGATAATATTCAGTAGACTCTTTGCTTATCATTGAAATTAAAATAAAGGATAATGACATAAATATATATAGGTGCATGTTGTTAATTAACAATTAAGATAACTATGCTATTTAATTGAATGGTTATATCGGTTGCTAAGGCAGTAGCGACAAAATAGAGGATAAGGTAGAATATAGAATGCAAAAGGATAGTTGGAGGAATGAGAATAAAGACCGGTCATATAAAGGGCGAATCTTAACTTCTGCCATGGCGCATTAAACGTCACGGGGAGTAGCAAAATTATGCGAGTTATTTCTTGGCGGTACGCAATGCGTTCTTGAGAGAGAAGAGTATAATAGTTCTCTTCTTATATGTGCGGTGTCTTTGTTCCGTTTGGAAGAAGAGTCCAAGTCATGGAACCGTATCGAGAATTCCGCTCGTTCTTTCCGGCGCGGATGCGAAGTCAATTAACGCCGCGAAAAGAAATAAATCGGCGCAGGAGCGTCATATTTACCAGGATAAAAAACTACATTGAGGTTTCTTAATAAGAAAGAGAAAGAATTGAGTGTATAAAGACAGAGAGAGAGAGAAAGTAGAATAGAGGAAAAAATAAGCGTTGACTCTGCTGATGCAGCAGCTTGTACTTAAATCATGTCTGCTTTATATAAATTTTTTTACTTTTTATTTATTTCTTTATTAGACCCATTATCGTTGTCCTTGCGTTCAACTCATTCTTATTAATTGTTTTTCTATTTTTTTCAGATGGTTCAAGCGATTCAGGTCCTCCGGTTTCATCTCCTCGAGCTTGAAAAGGTGAGTAAATTATTCCAGTTTTTTCTAACAATAAACTTAATTAAATCATTAATTCATTATCTGTTACTTCTAAGAGGACATTTTTTAGACAGTTCAAAAAATCAATATTATTTTTCAAAATATTTTTATTTATTATTTCTTTTCAATAGGATCGATTTATTTTAATGAGTGTCATTTGTTATTTTGTTTAAAAAAGTTTATTCATTGTTTCAATTATCCAATTATGGAATTAAAGGAGATTGTTCAATTTTCAACTATTATAACAGCCTAGGGGCATATTCCAATGTGTCATTGGCTTGGTTGTATCAATTTAGGCCTCGCCCGCGCATTTTATTGCAACTAGGAGTAGCACATCTGTCATGAACTCATAAGAAACTAGTAGAAGCAATTTTCCGTAATAGCAGTGAAAGCTCGCGTAGTTAAAGTGATCTCCTTGAGCTATCCAAGTCTTTCATTTTAAGTGGAGTGATTTAGCTGTCCAATGGGCGGTAAGAAGAACGGAAATTACCTCATTCCAGCAATTCGGATTGGAGCACAACTCAGGCTTTCTTTATCCAAGCGGCGTCTTGTATATATAAATCGATGACATTTCTAGTCAGCTCAGTTAACTATAATAAAAAGTTTAATTTTGTAAATTAGAAATTCTTATGAACATGACAAACGTGATGAAAATACGACGAATTAAAGACGATGATTGATAAGCAAGTTGGAAAAAACATTTTAGTTTACACAGAGTTTCTTACTATGATATTTTAACACATGATCATATTATAAAGAATCATTCTCTTTTATGGTTATATTTTATCATACAAAATAGCAGACATTCATCGTATTTCCATCAAAATGGCAAGTACCACGTTCGGCGAATACTAAGGGGATAAGACCAAGCCAATGAGAAGAGAAACAAGCTACTGGTCAGCCCGGTTTATCTGGCAATTTCATACCAATTTTCCTCATTCATGGTGATTATGTTATAAACTGTTACCTCCGGCTAAATTCACTTCTTAAAAATCTCCTTGATCGATCTAAGGACCATTGACTAGAGCATGTGGGCTGTGGCTATAAAAGTTAAATAGTGTATTTCGTGAGCTAGAGAATAAAATGAAACTTCAACGATCTACAGTCAATCAAATAATCACCAATTCACTTTGTATATATATATTTGAAGTTTCACTTCATGAAAAACTTTCCCACGATTTCTATTTTAAATATTGAGTTGAATACAATTTATCATGATATGCAAATATATTTTTAATCAAATCAAAGCATTGGTAGAGAATAATTTAGCAAATATGCAAGGCAATGTAATAAAAATTCAAGTATTCCAGCATGAAAAAGGAGCATGATACCAGAGAATGCGAAGACGCGTGATCCAAAGGATTCCATAAATACCATTGAAGGAGGACCAATCCGATGATAGCCTGTGGTGTTGGTCTCCCTGTTTGCGTTTAACATTTTTTCTCGAACCAATAGTGGATTAGCATAATTACATTTGGATGGTACAAGGGGAGCGCCACGTCGACGCGCTTCAGCGACGTCGTTGGATAGCGGTTGCTTGACTTTAAAGTCTCTAGACCATGCAAAACTGACTTTGGGCTGGGCTGTGACCGCCCTATACATACGCCTCGTCACTTACCTCAAGTATAAGACCATTTCAATTCCTAGCGTAGCCACATAATAACGTGTCTTTTCAGCTATGTCTCTTAAAACTCAAGAGAAAGCCACTAGTCTGAAGGGAAAAGACAGAGATGTTAGAAAGATTTTACTTCACTTCCTTCTCTCGGTCAGTTCCGCGATGCAAACAAACCGGTTCTCGTCACTGAGTCTCGTCTGCAATTTTGCGGTTTATAGTTCAAATGCATGCGTTAAGGCAAGTCAATCTGCTGGAAAATAAAATGAATAAATTTGTGCAGTACAGCAAGTCATAGAAATTCTAGGACTTTTATCTTTAAAAAGATTTATTTTACTTGTTATGACATTGATTCAATTGGTCTTTGTTTATTAACTAGGTAATTATTTTTTAAAGTGATTTTAAATTTTCTTTTAATTGACTTTGTTTCATTAAATGAATTTTGTTGTTGCTTTGATCTATATGCCTTGATTATCGTCAGGAACCAATAAGTATGTTTGCTTGGAAGGCAACAGTGCATGGCAGATCCGGATCATGTATCATGAGGTCGAGATCATCATACTACATATAGAATAACAACAAGTCATACGAAGATGAGAAGGAAGAGAAGCTACCAAGTATTAGATCTAAAATTTGAAGTATTCAATAAAAAAAAAGCTGATGCACACAGTATATCAAATCTCCTAGTTCAATCAATATTTATTACTAATCAGGATTTTTATCAGCACAAATTTTACCACTTAAAGTCTGATGGTGGATCGAATTCTAACCAGTTCAACATATTATATAGTTAGTGTCCTTCAAGACTTGCTTTTCTCTTTCTTTAGTGCCCAACTCAGTCTCCCTTGTGTTAAGGTCTTTTAGCCGAGTCATTTTGAGACATGTTACCTGATCTGAAGAAAGCTTTTTGTCCTTGCTGAAAGATCAAAGAAACTTTGAAATAATAGATAATGATTTAGTAATAATAGACGTTAATTAATTCCAAATGAAATAATCTGTAGTTCTAGATGTAAAAGTCTGTTGTTGGAGATAAAATTTATACACATATGAACGCACACATGATAAATGCACACATTGTTCTAGGCCACAGTTCAGAAAAATGGTATTTCATTGGTAACTTATGTTGCTTTAGACAAGATGGCTGACCTCTTCTATTACATTTAAATATTTTTCTGATAAGAATGGCATCGTAATTGACCATACGTAGTATAGGTAATACATATAATAGTGTGGTTAAGGTCTAATGGATGCATAGGTATGAGAATAGCAAGGTATAGTTGCATACAATAATCGATGAGTGCAGAGAGACGCATGGAGAGCGCAGAACGGCATCATAATGCGCCGTAGTCTTGGGCCAATTTACATATAACAAGATAATGATTTTTTACATTTTTTTATTTTTATTTTTTGCTTATATAATACATTTTTTCTAAGCCCCAATGGAGCCGCTCGTTGGTTCTCAACATGAGGGAGAGAAGGCGGGTCGAAGAGACGAGAAGTCGGGGTATTCTATAGGTCTGTCAGGGCTCATTTGCATACATAACATTATGGTCGGCTGGACACCGGTCAGGCCTTCTCTCTTTTCTGCGGTTCTCTCGGTTTAACCGCTTTTCTGCGGCCTCGGGATGCGATTTGTATACGACCGTCGTATACAAGAATCTCTCTCTTGGTTAAAAATATAAAATGTGCACCAATATTGCTCATCAATATGAAAATATTTACATGTTTTCATAATTTTCAGGCAAGTTTTGGTGCATTACTTAGTTAATTAGAATAAATCATGATGTATAATGAGAAAATTGAACAGTCTTTAATTTTCATTTTAAATTTAGATTATGTTATTATGTATTTTAATGGTGATAAATTCTAATTTCAGACGAATGTATTAATGGAATTGACTGGATGTTAGCTTGTAATAAATAAAATCTATACGTAAATGGTAATATTGATGGGTGTGTTTAATGGTTGCAGGTGCATGAGCTGTGCGATAACTTCTGCCATCGATACATCAGCTGTCTGAAGGGCAAGATGCCAATCGACCTAGTAATCGATGATCGGGAAAGCTCGAAACCACCAGAACTTGGGAATGGTTTAGATGGTGGACCACGAAGCACAGCAGATAGTACCAGCCACACGGACGGAGCCAGCACGCCAGACGTCGTGAGTACCTCACCATCGTCAACGTCTTACTATCCGCACGACGCGATTACCCCCCACCACCATCACAACCACCATCACCATGCCATCGGCAGTACCACCCCCTTGCAACTGAGCCAAAACCAAAGCCAAAATCACCCGCCGCAGTCGAACACTACCCCCAGTAGCGCCGCCACAACTCCCAACTCCCTAAAGCGTACGCACCAACAGATGATGATGGCAGCCGCGGCGGCCTCCGCGATGGCCACCTCGCCGCACGCCGCCTCTGCGCCCCCAGCTCACGCGCACGCGCACGCCGCCCTCGCCGCCTACCACAGCATCAGTTCAGCCGTTTATCCGTGCTCGTAATAGATCAAGTCTAGTTGACATCTCGCGGATTGTACTTTCTCCAAATTTGTGCTTTCATCCCTCACTCTTAAATATAAATACAACTCTTTCATCACTTCATCATTTATTGTTATCTACTCTCTTATCATCGTCTCTCATTGTTTCTTTTATGCAGCATCTTTCACTAATTCCTACTCCTCATTCCATTATTATGCGTACGATTGACTTCCAGTAGTCTTTGTGCTCTCTGCTATTTGCATCATATTTCCTTACCGTAGACTTTTTGCGCTTTAATCCTCATACTCTTTATTATACTTGACATACTACTCTAATCATTACTAGCGCTCAATTCTTAATGGATATTTTCAATGATTATCGGCATGGGGCGGTAGGTCGTGCGCTGTCAACAGGAGGTCTAGGAGGAAAAAGCGTCGGCGGGGTTGTTATTTAGGTTTAGATGTCACGGGAGAGTCGAGTCTCTTTCATGGGAGTATCATTTCTAATTAATCGAGTATCAAAATAATTATCTCAGTAATTCATATTTTTTAAATATATTTTTTTGTTTTTATGAAAATATTAATTTTTTTATTCTATTTCAATGATTATTATTTTATATAATTTTTATTACCCGATTAATGACATTTGCGAGTCGGTTTATCTACTTTTTATTGATATACAGATAATAACGGGAATCAAATAATACATAGTCGAAAGGGTGGCGAGTCGATTGAAAAAAATAAAATACAAATGATTCTATACCTAGAGACATGAAGATAGACATTAAATTGCATTCCGTTGCAATGTACACACGGTACATATGTTGTAGTCGAAGTATTTTAATTGCAACGCTGACATTCAGCTCAACAAGAGACGCTTTTATAAATACGAATTGCTGTAATCGTCGAATTTCTGTGGAAATTTAACTGGTATTAATTTTCTAATAAATTACGACGAACAGCTTTTTACTTAATCGTGATCAGGATATACGTAATAGGCTTAAGATCTCGTCACAAAGAAATTTGTGTCTATTTTTAAATAAAATTCAGGTTTAATTAAATAACAAAGTTTAATAATTAATATAAATAAAAGAGTGAGAGATAATTAATGGCTACTTATAAATAAATCAATTGTCGGAAAAATGTAGAATAATTTTTAAATTATTAAGTGATTAGCGTTACCAATCGTCTTGTGCATTAAGGGTGCGGATAATTGTCGCGATTGTTTGTTCAATGTTATAAATGATTGTGAATAATGTGTATATGATAATGAAAATTACTTGATAATCATGTGTGAGTGACTAAAGTCAAAATCGAGAATAATCAAAATGATTTTATATTAATAACAAGTCATTTAATGAAAGAAACAATTTTTGCGAATTTTGTTAATATGTTTCTTTTGTAAATAAATTGATTTATAAATTTATTATTATTATTATTATTATTATTATTATTATTATTATTATTATTATTATTGATTATTAATAAGAATATGAATCAATATGTATCGAATTTAATAAATATACATATGTAGCGAAAGACTCCGTAACACGTGATTAATAATAATCGTCAACGAATCGAAATTATAGAAGAAGAATAAAAAGTGCGTCCCAATAAAATGCGAATCGATTAATTTCAATTGACTAGGTCTCGGTACTCGTAACTAGGGAGTTGTGTGAGGTACAAACGTCCTGGCCGGCAGGGCACGCGAGGTCCACCCCCCAGCCCCCGTACTTGAGTCCCTTTTGACTTGTAGAATATATGCAGAAACAAATATTTATTGTGTGATGCTGCATTACTGTGGTGCCCCGTCTGTGGTTCAAAATAAAACTATAGAAAAAATAAAACATTTAAAAGAAAAAAAAAACCTGCACCCTCGAAAATGCGTTCGTTTATTCAATTTCATAACATGTGGTACTATTTTCAATATTCAATTATGTTGAACATCTCACAAAATTATTAAGAAAAATGACATACACTTTACATACATTCAATACAGTAATTACATCACATGAACATTTTTTTTTTTATTTTTACAAAGTCAAATCAGTCAAAGGTTTACGAAGTTATTCCTATATACATTTTTTTACATGTGTATTCGAATTCTACAAATAATAAAGTGAATTCGAGTACGTATTGTAGACCTACAAGCGCATGCATTTGATCTACATAAACATATATTTCACAAAAATAAGGAGAAAAAAAAACACATGGGGTGCAGGGTGCATTGGCCAGGGTAGGGCATCATATGGAGCAGCAGAGAAATGGGGCTTCGTTTATGTGTCGAAAATAAATTTATTTATCTAAAAAACAAAAAAAAACAAGGGAGTAGTTACTCAAAAAGTACTTTTATTATCAAATTCGACACGCAACGAATCCCCTGCAAGTTCTACGAGTCGATGGTTGGATCAAGTACGGTGTTGGGAGGTGAATCTTGTGGCCCTGTTGGCTGGAACCCTAGTTACGAGTGCCGAGCCTAGGGCCGAGATTTATCTCGGTTTTTTGTTTTCTTGTTTTAATCAATTAATTATATTCTACCAAAACAATCAAAATTACAGATATATGGCAGTGATTTGCGAAGGTATTGTAACAATAATTCAAAAGTTAAACAATGAAAGAAGAAATTCCTGATAATATTTATTAAAAATAATTCTTACAGAAAAATTTTTTTGAGCGTTTGCAATATTCTACTTTGTAAAGTAACTTATAATATACCTCTCTAAAAAATGTAACGTAACTTTTAATCAAAACAATAACTGTTAATGACATCTAAGACTAAATATCTGAGCTCAAATAATTTTTTTGTTGAAAAATTATTTTTATTACATTGCAAAACGTTTAAATTTAAATAAACATAATAGAAAAAAAAAGTTTTAATAATGTCTAGGCATACACAATACATGTTCATTTATTTAAATATATTTGGCATAAAAAATAATAAATAAATTATTAAAAATTTACAGTCTTTTGAAAATTTTTGTCTAAATTATCAACATTCATCATTTGACATGTAAAACGAATGAGTGAATACTGCATGAAATACGTAGAAACAAAAGATTTATATGAATGAAAATGAGCCCGCAGCGACACAAAACTAAAAACGTGAATACTTAGTGCCATAGGTTGCAGTGGGCGTGCGCGCCAAGACTGTGTACTTAATTAATTAGATATGAAGATATATGCCAGACGAGAGAGAAAAAGCAGTTGAAAAAAGGACTACGACATGTATTATGAAGAGGATGATAGTCATGAATGCTACTACATTCTAGATAGGAAATGCAAATGTTTTCTTTTTTTGTTTAATTGAATATAAAAATATTCGCTCACTTTTGTCTTGCACATTGTCGTACTCTTTCCACCTACATCATGATCGTCATCATAAACTTAAATGCATTTATAAATTAGCTTAGAGACGATCTCTGTATATTACCAGAGATTTATAGCTAAATGATTGAGAACTGTAAAAATTGATGACGACAAGGTACAAGTGCTACGACATTGTATCAGTCAAAGTATCCGTGATATAGTTTTTATTCTAAATGAATTTTCAAAGAGAAATCTATCAATTTCTTTTGAAAATTCATCGAATAATTAACTCAAGCCTGACCAGTTATGTGCGGGAATTAATGAGCATTTGTTGATGTCGTATAGTTACGTTTTTTTTTGTTCGTATTGTTTCTGTAATTTGTTAATGTTTACTATTAATAATAATAATAATATTGATATTGATAATTAACATAAATGCGGTGAAAATATCGCAATGACTCATATATATATATATATATATACGCGATTGAAAGAGAGATTATAATAAATAATTAATAGTAAATAACAATGAATATACTGATATAATTGGATGTGAAAAATTATATATATATATAATATATATATATATATCAGAATTGCAAACGTGAATACAAGTATATCTTTTGAAACAACAAAGAGAGAGAGTGACAAATGAATATTGAATAATGAAGAATGAGAGATAATTGTAAATGTATGTGTGCTGTGTACACTTTGAAATTTATTCGTAATATAATAAGACAAAAAAATAAGAATGATTTAAAAACAAACTCACTCGCACATTGTATACGATTAGCATTATAGTGATAATATATTACCGATAATAATACTGTTCAAACTATTGTCTCAATCAACGTATTTTCATTATTATATAAATAAATGTTAGCCCTGTTGAGTTAAAAAAATTATGTGACTTTTATTTTTAACAATCGACCGCACTCTTAATGAAACATCCTTAATCCTATTAATGATTTTAGTTATTAAGTTTTAAAATATTTATTTTATTGGCAATTTTTTGTGACGATTGTTATGATTTTTTTTTGTGTGATTCGAGGTTGAAAAAAAAAAACAAAAATTCGAATAGAGGAAATAAATCGACTCGCCAGGGGAATTGTGATACTCCCAATTCGACAGGGATTCGTATCATCCCTTGCGTGCGACTAGAAATTGCAATCCAGCAGCCGTTCGCGAGGTCTTCCTTCCGCTTCTGAATCGGCATCTCTTCGTATATGGTTTAAAATGCGATTTCCTGAAGGTATACTCTTTTCTATTCACTGTTTGCTCCGAACGTCACAGTACAGTGGCAGTAGTGTGGCACATCGAGAAAGCAGCCAAGGTCTGCCCATAAATCTCGGTTTACCCTCGTCTAATAAATATTTAACCCTTTAAATTTGCAACAACCCTTAGCGTGTAGCCATTTGCATAGGACTTCTATTTCATTTACACATCGCATAATTGAATATTTAAATTCAATTGCTGCCCGTTACGCGCTCGCAGTTTCAAGCCGCAAAACTGCAGTAAAACTTGTAACGGGGCCACTTTTCTCAGCGGTTCTCGCACGAAGCTCTCTTTAACATCTTCCTCCCCCAGTTATGGAGTCTTTTAAGTCTTTATGCCCCTCCGAAATTGTTTTGAGATTATTTCCCACTTATAAACTTTCCCTTTTTGAATTTATTTTGCTACTGAAATAGTAAAACTAAATCTCTTATAACCATTTTAAGTGACTACAAATAATGCATACAAGCTTTTGTTAACATTATTTTTTTTCAAATAAACTAACATATGTATGAAGCAGATTTGTTAAGTTTCTGAGTAAAATTATTTAACATACCGTACTTAAATACTTTGTTAAAATTAGTAATTAGATTTTAAATACTTCAAACTATTCGATAAAAATATAAATTAATTTTATTTAAGTAAGCATTGTTGTTATTTAATTTCACAAATACTCTTTGAAATACTTATGAGAATGTTTCTCTTTGTTGATAAAATGATTGATAAAAAATTGAACTCAATATAATAGAATATGTATACCGTAATAATAAATAATGAACGAAAATATAAATTCGAAGAAAAACTACAGATCAAACAACGAAAATAAATGATACAATTAATTAACAGAATGTTCTAGATATTGAAAATAAAAAAATAACAGAAGAAAAAACGATAAAATCAAATACAAAGTTATCAATAAGATAAAAAAATGATTATATTAATACAACTTTGTAATATTTATCGCATTTAAAATATTGAAGTACATTCATAGTTAAATTTATTGATGAATGTTTTTTTTAACAAAAAAAGCGAAAATAGACCTAAATTATACGAGGAAATTCTTTTCATTTATTATTCGAAGTTATAAATAAAAAAAATTAAGATTGATTATATCATAGTAAAGATAAAACGGAAAAAAATATTTCAATTTATTCAATCTAAAAAATAGTTCTCATAAGAATAAAAAGTCAATAGAATTTAGTATAGTATGTAAATTTTAAATTTCTAAAAGAATCTAAGAATTTAGATACATATTTAATAAATTATTTTTTTAAAAATTCTTTTGCCCATGAACATCGATTACTTCTTATAACTTTAATCGATATTTACTATTTGCACCATAAATTTATTTGAAATTTACATGGGCAGATTTGAAAAACATTTTAATAGTTTTGGAGCTATTAATCATCAATTAATAAACTATATAAAAAAGTAGTTTTCATGTGACTATTAAAAATCAAAGATAACACCAGGTTAACATTAATAGTTATTTTTCTTATCTTACACAAATATTATTATCAAGATATGTGAATTATTTCTCTCCAACTGTTCAAAATAATTATTAATTATATTTTTCTTGATAGTTCATTATGTCAAACTTGTCATATCGAAACTACATTAGTAGATAGTATGTTTGGTATTGATGAAGATTATGTATACTCCAAAAAGTAATTCAATTATATTTTATACATTCGTTGTGTCCAGCATCTACATAAATTAAAAGTTACATTCAATATTTGAAACGCATTCTCTATACAAGTGACATTTGACGATTGAAGGTAAACTCGTAAACACTTCTCACTTAATATAGCTTTTCATTCATATCAGAGATTACCATTCTTGCGTTACTTATGCTAACGATGATTGGTCGAGATCGGACGGGCGATTATCGGTGTGTCACAAAATCAAAAAAGCAGTTATTGTGAGCGACATACTGACAGAATAATAAATTATCTCTTAACATGGATAGCTTGTAGACATCAACAGCATGTTATACATGATACTAATAACTCGGGTGTGGCTCCATAAGATTCATTTAACACTTTTCTTATTCATTTCAAAGACATTTATTTTATATTAGAAGTTTCATTTTCACTTATTCCAATTCGATAAATAAAAAATGGACTATTGTGTTGGCAAGCTGAAATAATTTATTCATGAAATAAAAGTACTTTGAATACTTCATCATGTTATTTTAGTTGAATTTATATATTTTCTTTATTTTTATACCTCGAGTTAGAAGCGATAATCAAGCAAGCACACTCTTGTAGAAATAACTTTTCCCACATCTATCTATATTGTATATGCATAGGCGACTAATGTATATATCGTTCGTCACCCCTTACTCTTTCTCGTCATTTTGACGTTGACTCACAACGGCACCTATTGCCTTACATATACAATTTACTAAGTAATGCGATAAGTGTAACGACCTCCTCAACCAATTGGAGGAAGCGATATTCTTTAGTGTAAGACCGCCCATTTGTGTATTTAATGCCGCCAATGTACGATGTGTCTCGCGCACCAACGATTGTATACATTTAACCGATGCAACGTAAGGTGTACTTAGGTGTATATTACAATGAGAGAGGCGATTTCAACATGACGCATTCCAGTTTTTTTTATTTTCAAATATTTAATTAATTGAACTTCTGTTTCATTATTTACAAAAAATCATTTGAATATTTAATTGTTTTCAAGATTTATTTCATAAGAAACAATTATACAACAAAAATTATATATGAAACTATTTAATACAAAACTATTACATACAAAATTTCTTATTTCATTTTGACGGTGAATTTTTATTTACATATTACATAAACAATTAGCATTTACTTTTATTACGTCAATCTCCAAAGTTATTCAACACATTTTAGTTATATGATGAATTAGTGTTGAGAAAAATTTATTTTTGAAATTTTGATTTGTTATCTATTATGAAAAAAATTAAAAAATCATTAATTCAGTTATAATCTTTATTGATGATGAGATATACTAAAAAAAATATTTCTTTGACAGCTGTACTTCAAACAATTAAACATTCTGACTTAACATGATAATTTATTTAATTGATTTTACTTTCCGTACTTTGGTATCTTTACACATTTTGGTTACAGGAATTATATTCTTAAATATCTACACAAATGTGAAGTAATTAAAATTTTTCATCATTTTAAACAGTAGTACATTATGATAAATTTTGTCATTTAACTTGAATGTAAAAATTAAAAGTTGTTTTTTTAACATTGAACACTTGTCACACAATTACTTGGAGGATAACAAAGTTGAATTGTTATCACACAAATCTGGATAGCTCTTGTAGTTATTCAACTATATACATCAGTAAGTATTGTTGCTATATCAATTCTAAGAAAATATTGAAGTAAATTAACTGTCATAATTAATATTGCTACAAAAGAAAGATTTTTTTGAATGTATTTCAATTCCTAATAAATCAAGAATATAATAACAAGAATGCAATACCGTTACAACCGTTACTTTATAATAAAAATGCTTTAAATAATAGAGGTAAAGAAGGGAATGAAAGTAAAGAAAGAAGAAATGAAAACTTGTCATAATTTCATCGACACCAGCACCGTCAGCTGGGGTGGCATGTATATTTTCATAATGTAATATTGTAGTAGCGTGGATATAAGAAGGGGATAAAGGAAAAGCGGGAAGGAAAATGGTTTTCTTGGAGCACGCATAACCCCTGGTTGTCTCCACTGATATAATGGGGTAGGTTCGTACAGTGAGCAGAGAGAAGGAGAGGTGAGAGAAAGAGAACTATGACGGTAAGGGTGTTTTGCTGGTAATTGGTGCCAATTTAATCCTACCCTTCGCCTAGCGTAGTTTGTATTAACGCTAAGGGAGAATGGTACACCAAAAGAGAGGGTGGTTTTCACTCTGTATCTTTCCTTTTCTTTTTCCCTTCCCACGCACTAGCATTTCTCTCTTCGTCATTCACTACCCCACTGCATATTACACGCATAAACACAAACACAAGTGTGTTTTATCCCACGAATAGTGACATGAACATCGTCTCATCTATCCACTCATGCGTCCGAAAGTAAATACATCGTGCACGTGAATGCACTAGGAAAATATAATTAACAGTAATCGCTTGCGTATATAGCTCGGATTAACTTTCTGTAAGGGGAAACGCATATTCTACCCTATGTCAAATTCTTCTGGGTTATCGGATTGAACCAGAACACATCCTCTTTCCCTAGGGATTACTCGAAAACTTTGGCTAATAATTTCACTTAAAAAACTCTACATTAGTATCTAATTTCACTCAATGACTTTTTTCTCTTAAATTGGCTTTTCAATTTTTATTTTAAAAAAATCATTATTTTACATTCTATCATTATTATTCTAATGTTGGTGCCTAGAATTTTTGTATCACTCGGTGACGATGTTTGAATATTTAAATGAATTTATTCGGATCATTAACCATTTAAAATACTTTTGACATCATAAACTTTACATTACTGAAAATATTGAAAATTTAACCATGTGAAAAAGGCTTTGTATTAATTATTCATCATTGAAAAAGAAAACAAATATCAGAGTTGAATTTTTATTTTGAAAGTTGGAATTAAAAAAGATACTGTTTTTTTATAAC